TGTTTTTCAGTTTTTGTTTGTTTTTTAAAGTCTTTCTTTAAAAACATGTTCAAAAGCCTTGCAAATAGTCATGGTTCGACCAACAAACCTGTACTTCCTAGGACTGGTTTTATTCCCATTTTGTTGAGTGTGGCTGCCGCACTTGCTGTTCTGTAGACCCAAGTACCATGCTGATACCTTCATAATGTGATTCTGCACCCACTCCCTGGGCAGTAGCAGAAGCTGGTGTGTTAACTCTACTGGGAGCTGCTGCCTGGATATGGGTGTCTGTCAGTGATACTTGTAGGACGTTCTGCATAATGTGTCTTTCTCTTTAGAGAGTAGCAATTTATTCCCTCACTGCTTCCCTTCACATCTCCTGTCCTAGTTAGAAAAGTAAGTTTTGTTTCACCCAAGACAGTTTGTGCAAGAAATTTTGTCTGTGAAACCTTGGTAGCCAAAATACTTTGCTCTGAGAAACCCAATGGAAATCATCTTGTCAAATGGCAAGCTCCAGGGCTGATGACTCAAGTTTTCCCCTGCTCTGGTCTGGATGACAAGAAACTGCCGACGAGGAGCTGAAAGCAGTAATTCACACTTCTGCGACACAGCATTTTCTCCTTTGATGTTATCAGTAAATTGCACCCAGAAATACAGCCTGTGATTCCAGACCACGATCTTTCCTCCTGCCTCCTTCACTGCATGTCTGGCCACTGTTCAGGGCTTTTCATTTTATACTGGTTCACTTCCCGCTCCTCTTCCAACACTTCCCAACATCAGTTGTGTTCCCTCAGGCTAGTTGATCTGTCGGTGCGTGTTTTGCATAGGCCTTCACTTTCTCCAGCCGTGGTCATTCATGGTTCGTGTGAACGATGGTTCACATCACTGTAGATTTTCTTGCCAATAACCATTGCCCCTGCACATGCTCGTGGAGGTGTAAAGAAGTACATGCATCTGCAGGCATCTGAATTGAAATTGTGCTAGTTTACGCTGAGGTATGTTTCTGTCTAAATCTAGAGAGTATTAGGCACAAATAAGAATTGTTTAATGTCAAATATATAATTATCAATTGAAAAATCTGCACCCTCTCAGAGGCCTTGTCAACACTTCATGTCTCAAAATGTGTAGTATCCAGAAAACTGTGGTGTTAACCTTTTCTAGTCCATGCTGAACATCTGAAAAATCAGTCCTTTTTTGTGTTTGCATGGGATCTTTGTTCACTGTGATTAATAGTCCACTAACACTGTCCAATACAAGTTCAGTGCAATGTACAAAGTGCCTTTGATGCCAGACATTCTACAGTGCTGTGCAGAAACTAAAGCTAATAGTTGTAAGCCTGAGAGGACTGGAATGTTTTCAATTTACTTTTAAACAAATGACTTTATTGTGCCATTCTCATATGGGAGTAAATTCCACAGCTTTAGTGCCACATTAGACAAAACTTTTTTACCTGCTGATTTCTGTTTATACTTGGAGAAGAAAAATTAACCTTGGTTAGGGACTGGGGAGAATAGAACAGAACTATTAAACTCAGTGGGAATTTTGCCAGGGGCTTTGCTGGGAGTAGAGTGAGGTGCAGGAGTACAGGATGTAGCTGAAGGATGATTTGTGGTGTAGAGCAGGATTCAGGAATTCTGTGTGCCTGAAAAATCGCTCGTGAAGGGCACCTGTAGGAAAAGCTTTAAAACTGGTTTTGCCACTCCTGAAATGTAAGGAAGCAGTCATTGTAGTCTGAGTAAATCCTGGTGGATATTGGGAGGAAGGTTCCTGGTGACTGCAGTTGGAGATGGATACAGCCTAACTACTGAAAGGAATAATTCTCAAGTAACGGGTGTCTGTAGCCATATAGGAATGACATCTCTTGACCACAAGGAGAGATAGTGTCTCTGAACTCACCACATGGCAATTATAATGGTAAAGATTTTCAGACTGAGACAGGGAAGTTCTGAAAGAATGAGACTTTAATGCTTATAGGATGGTCTAATGCCATGGATTTGTAAAAAATATAAAATACTTGCAAAATGCCCAAGTAAGGAACATGGATCCATTCAGCATTGCTCCAAGTGGGAGGCCCTCTAATGCTAATAAGTGCATGGTCGTCTTCTGAAAGGTATAATACAGAACCCACTCCAGTAACTCCTTTTGATCAAAGCATGAGTGTAAGTTAATTACTAGCAGAACCAAAACACTGGTTTATTTTTTTTAACTGCTCACTAAGCATTTTTTTTAACTCAACCTTTTTTTACAGGGCTTTTGTTTTGTGCGTATTACATGGTTTTATTGCTTTATAAATCCATAAGCAATCAAGAAAAGGTTTGAGTTTTGTTTTGACTAATGTTTTTACTTTGGCTATCTGCAATTCATTAGTATTTAATGTTACAGGCCACTGCATGGAAATCCAAATAAAAATGACAAATTTAGGTGATGCTTAGATAAATGCAATTGCAGAAATTGGATATATAAATCCAATCACCTGAAAATGGCTTTAGAGCCTTTTGTCTTTCTCTGATGTTTCTAACCATTGTCTGATCTTTTCCAAAATAATAGCTGTCTTGCTCATCTCTGTGCCATGGCTTCCCATAAAACCTTATCTCAGTTACAAAAAGAACAATGGAAATGGTGCAAATCGTGTTGCAGTGTCCTCAGGGCCCTAAACCCTTTGCTACCACTGATTTGGCCTCTAGAGGTAAATACACCTAAAGCTTTGGTAGACTGTCAAGAACAATAGGGAAAAGGGTCTGAGCCATTTCCATTTCAACTTGTAAGGCAGGGAAAGTCTGTCCAGTTTGTTTCTCCTCACTTGGTAGCTTTCTTCCTTTTTCAAAAATATGGTGTATGTTGATTGTTACTGAAAAGAAGCCAGTGTGTGTATAAATGGTGACAGCTTTTACATTGCCAAAGGCTGCCTTGGATCAAAACTAAGATCAGGTGTGTTACTCAGCAGTGCTGGGAAGCTTGTGGGGGCAAAGGTGGTGCTAGTTCCTTTCCAGGTGATGCCTGTATGTGGTTTATTTGCATGAGCAGACAAATGATGTTGTTACAAATCTGGATTCTCTAAAAAGTATAAGATGCGTTTCAGGAGTTGTTGTAAAGCCTCTCTCCCTGTGGTGGGAAAGAAACGGTGTAGGAGAGGGCAAGATCACTTCTGTTTAAACCAGGCTGAAGGTTACTGGGCAGCAGCTCTCCATCCCATCCCAGCAGCAGATGCCCAGCTGCCCTCTTCAAATGGCAAACACAACTGCGGCGAGGAAATATCATAAGAGCCTGAGGTTGTATTAGCTTTCCTTAGGAAATGCTGCGCTCTTAGGTAGAGTAAGGAGCAATTATGTGCTTTTGCCTAAGAATCCTCAAATTCTCCCTCTAACCCGCTCGCTCCCCATCCATCTGGAAAAGAAAGCCCCTCACTTGCAAAACATCTTTGGAAAAGAGAGAAGGAGGGAGTACACTTCAGTGGAAGCATCTCATCTCCTTTGTCTCCCAGATGCCTATCTACAGTGGGGATATAATCTGTGCTTAAAGGTGGCTCCCTGGGGGGCCCCAGTTTGGCAGGCAGACTGGTAAGGAACACATGCTCTGAACCCAGAGGGTGTCTCAAATGAAATGATATTTGAATCTCGCCGTGCAGGTCTTAATGTAATCCATGAGTCTTAATATGGCCATAAGGCTATAAATTCAGGGATTTTGACCTCAAAGTCTTTGAGTGTGTTTAAAAATAGCTCACCCATCCTCATTTTATCACTTCATATACTCTGACACAATTTTGGAACCTGCCTCCATCCCATCTAGCAGGGGAACACTATAATTAAGAATCAGTTTTGAAAGGCTGTTCTCTCTTAGCTTAAGGCAGAATAAGGCTTTATGTATTTTGCAGGAGATTATAAACAATTCATCAGCTAAAATTAGCAGTAAAAAGGGAGCCCCAATTCTTTCCTGTGCTGTGGTTTGTACCACAAAGACTTAGTGTTTTTAAATCATGACAGAGCTCCCTAAAAACCTTGAAAGCATATTATGTATGTGTCACTTTGGCTCAGTTAGGAATAGTCTCACCTCTCAGCCAGTAAGGCCATGGGTTCAAGTTCCATGCCCGCCCTTGGATTTAGCTGTCTCACAGTAATTTTATTACAGAAAACATTTTAAAATAGAACCATGGGGGAAGAAGAGTGAAACTTTTATATCTGTAACTGCACTGTGAGACATTCAGTCATTGGGACGATACGTTAAACCACTGTTCTTATTACCCAGCTTTGCTCAGCAGGCATAAACCCTCTAAAAAGGGAGGGGCTAGCCCTAATGCTATGGCAGTTTTTTCTCTTCTTGAAAAAAACACTTCTAGTCCTTGGGAGTGTGGGTGAGCTACTGTTCCCTGTCTGAAAGAAGTTTACATTTTCACAGTGTTGCCATAAGGATGGGGTTCCCTGATTGTAAGTTGCTGTGCAAAAGTTGAAAAATCAGAGATGTTGAATGAGTGTTGACTTCACTGTTTGCTGCTGACTGGTGACAGAAGGGGAAAAAAAATAAATCAATCTTTTGAACTAAAAAGGCCATAAGTCATTAAAAATGTTAATTTGCAAAAAATATCCAACTAAAGTGTGAGGTTAGGGTTGTTTGTGGCAACGATAAAGCCAAGTGATCTTAACTGCAAAGGTAAACTCCATATTGTGTCTGCTTGGACCTTGAGGTAGAGTGCTTATCACTGATGTCCTTTAACATCCCCACAAAGAGGAGGTCAGAGTGACTTAAGGTTTAAACTTTATGGTTTCATTTTGGTTTGTGCCAACAATCATGGGGTCCTATAACATGAAGTGTTTATGTTTGTTGCTTGCATACATGTGTATGAAATTACCAGAATATCACTGTCTCTTAAATACAATTTATTTTAGGGAGAAAAAAAAAAATCTTTCCTTTTCTCCTGGTTTTGTAGAATACTTAGAAGGGTTTTGGCATATTTATACAAAATGGAAGCCATATCATAAAGCAGTATCTTATAGCATATGAAAAGATGGACTCAGGTCAGGAGTGCAACCAGAATCGTTTATTACAAACAACACCCGACTTATATAGTTTCTCAAGTCTCTCAGTACTTTTCCACTAAGACAATCACTGTTTACATTGTGCCCAATCAACGTCTTCTTGTAAAACTCAGCCACCAGGCAGGCAGATTCTTCTCCAATCACTAGAGTTATCATGAGCTATCCATGTGCCGTCTTTTCTTAGCATTTCTGCTCGTTTTTGTTCCTCGTTCTTGTCTCTGCTCTTTCACAATCTTGGTCTTTGCTTCTTCACAACCTGTCTAACATCCTGTTAACCCACATCTGCCCCTTTTATATTTAACTTACAAAATAATGATTATGCTGTTTTCATGAACTGCTGATTATGTTGACAATACATTGATCACATACCACAAACATAAAGCTCGTTGATTCTTTTACAGCTTTCTCATATAGTGTGATTAGATTTATTTCACTAAGCATTTTTGACTACTGCAGGTTTCTTTATCCTTTTCTTTTTCTGACATCATGCTTTGTAAGGCAAGCATAGTGTGCATTTGGGCATACGTGGTTTGATTTATGCTTCTGTCAATGATTCACTGAACACAAGAAAACAGACATGGCAAACGTAACATAATCATCAACAGAGCTACCAGGCCGATGACAACAAAACCAGTGATACTTTTAATGTAGGGGCCAAATCCTCCTAGCCAAGAAAATAGACCAAACGGGTCCCATCACCCCAGTGGGGATGAGAACAACTGTTGTAGTATCTAGAGTTACTGGTTGGGTGGTGGCTAGGTCCATTCCTGCACTTCCAGCTGTGGTGGGTCAGAGTGTGCTGGCTAAGCGCTGTTGTTCTGTTTTCTCGGAGCCGTATTTGTTGTTGTCTTGCGTGGTTTTGCGCTCTTCTTCCTGTTTGCTGAACCACCAAGGGGTCGACCATCGGCATGAAATTTGGACCGGCATTCATTTGCCCAGTGCAATCCTTTTCTACAGCGAGGGCATGGTCGGGTTGGTACGGATCGATTTTCTCGACCACTATGCTTAATGGTCTCACAATCTTTTTTAAGGTGCCCAGGCTTTCCGCAATTATAGCAATTTGCCTTTTGAACTGTCCCCACTGTGAGTTGGGTCAATAACACGTCAGCTAAAAGACTAATTTTATGAGTTTCAGTTCTGATATCTTGGTATGCTTTTATCATATCAGTGATGGTGGGGTTAGCATTTTTAATAGACTGCAATACTTTACGACAGTCAGCATTAGCATTTTCTAATGCTAATTGTTTCATCAGAATGTCACAAGCCGCTCGGTTATCTACTTGTCTCTCTGTTGCATTTTGGAGCTGATCAAGAAATTTTATATAGGGTTCTCCAGGTGCTTGTGTGATAGCAGAAAAGGAGGCTTCTGGAGCAGCTGTATCAGGTACCCGTCTTAACGCGCGCAATACAACGTCTTTTACTTGCTCAAAACACCATCTGTCCATTTGGGCTTGCACGTCAGGAGTAGCTCGAGGCCCCTCACCGACGAGTTCATTCACACCAATATGATTTAGATTGCCACCTAAGTTATCCATTGCCTTGGCAGTCGCTAGATCATGGTACTCAGTCATGAATACAGTATATTGCGTGGCCGATAAGATCAGACGTAATAGCATTTTCCAGTCATGGGGAGTCATGACATAACGGTCCCCAAGGGCTGTTAATAAGTTCATTGTATATGCTGACTGTAAGCCATAATCCTTCACTGATTTCCTCAGTTCCTTAACAGCATTATAATGCAAGGCTTCCCATGCTCTGGGTTGATTTCCCTGATAGGTCACAGGGAACGCTTGTAAAATGTCTGTGCCACCTCTAGCTAAGGCTTCTTTTCGACATTGGTCCCCCATACCGCGGCAGTCACTCGGATGGATTGGTTCACTTCCCATTGCCCCTCTCAAATGATCATCGGGAGGAAATAGGTTGGGTTCTTTGTCTGGGTTAATCAGCCCAGGATCAAAGGGGTCCTCTTCTGAGGGATCCTCTTCCGTGATACGGGTATTATTCAGAGGCGGTGGCAACAGAGCAGAAGGACGCATCGGGCTTTCCACAGAGTCTGTTTTTGTTCCTTTGTGGAGTTGTACTAGGGCTTCAGATATCTGCCGCCAAACGGGCAAATGCTTAGCTGCAGTCTTATCTGTTCCTGTAGCAGCATCCCAAAGTTTTGTGCCAATTTTGTCCCATGTTTCTTTGTCAAAGGTGCCCATCAGTGGAAAATTGGGGACGTTTCTCCAGACCCAGTCTAAGAAAGTTACTAAAGACAGGGTAGATACTGATCGATTTTGCATTTTTAAGATACTCTGCAAAATATCAAGGTTCATTTGCTGTTCTTTAGTCATAGAATTCCCCATGGTTCCTGATCGCTCACCTTTGTCCAGAAGAAAGGTGATGAGCGTGCTATGGAGTCAGTCCTTAGTTCGATCGGGCTACACTACCGGTGCAGATGTCTTCAGTCTCCTTACTCGTGCCCCACGTTGGGTGCCATTGGTAGCGTATGAAGAGATGGACTCAGGTCAGGAGTGCAACCAGAATTGTTTATTACAAACAACACCCGACTTATAGTTTCTCAAGTCTCTCAGTACTTTTCCACTAAGACAATCACCGTTTACATTGTGCCCAATCAACGTCTTCTTGTAAAACTCAGCCGCCAGGCAGGCAGATTCTTCTCCAATCACTAGAGTTATCATGAGCTATCCACGTGCCGTCTTTTCTTAGCATTTCTGCTCGTTTTTGTTCCTCGTTCTTGTCTCTGCTCTTTCACAATCTTGGTCTTTGCTTTTTCACAATCTGTCTAACATCCTGTTAACCCACAGTATCTAATTTCATTTGAACAAAGATTATGTGCACAATAGTTGCTCACAATTAATTTCTTCCCCTGAAAATAATTTTACCCAATAATTTTCAATTTCTGTTCTTGTGGCCTGAATCCAAAATACTCCTGAATGGATTATTTTCTTTTGTTTAGTAATATTTGTGTAACTTCAGTAAAGCTCTCAGTGTTTTCAAATTCCTCTTCTGATCTGTTTTGAGGTTTTTCTGCTACAGGAATGTTGTAGCTCAAACTTTACTTGCAAAGTTAAAGGAATTCTTAAATGGGGAGTATGGATGGTGGTGGTCATTGACGTTCTACTGGGGTAAGAATTCCTGCCAGAATTTGTAGACCAGTGTCACTCTGCCTGATGGAGGGCTTATGGAAAACCCATTAACGTGTATGAGAGCTTTGAATCTTAGTACCTGAATTATCAAATTAAATGTTTTGATGAGAACTCAGGCCAAGGTATGTTTGGCATATGACGAACATCTGGGAAAGGTAGATTTATCTATAGAAGATCCTGGTGGTTCTTGTGTGTCTCTCTGCTAAATTAGATTAAACACATTCCTGCTATTATTTTTTTTCAGATAAACAATTACTGTGGGTACTACAAAGGCTATGAGAACTGGGGCAAGAGATGGGATAATCCATCTTGTCATGGCAGGAACATTGGCCCATTTAGTCACATCTGGGATGTGGGTGGGGTGGTCTGTGCAAGGCTTAAGCTGGTAATGGTCTGTCAAAAATTGAGGTAAAGGGTGGGCTAGCCAGCTAGCCTGCAAGGGGAGGTGGCCACAAGACAGATTTCTGTACTTAGATGTGGTCCATGCTGGGAGAAAAAGATTGAGAATCCTTCCCATAGAGCCTGGTTTAGCAGTATTGACTGTGAGGCAAAGGGGAAAGGAAATGGTGCCGCTCCGGAGCACAGTGATCCAACTGTGTGAAATCAGTGTGGGTGCTATTAAAATGCCATCTTCCTCTCCCTTCCCCTTTCCTTCCTCCCTCTCTCCCCCTCTGCTGTCAGCCTGGCTGAGGAAAAGTCAAATAACGTACGACTGTGTTCCTTGGCATCATAACTGCAATTTCCCTTTAGGGACTTCAAACTTGAGAATGGGAGGTTTTAAATCTTGCTGATTCGTGCTATTCCAGCAAGCATATGTGTGAGGAGAAAGAACAATGCCAGTTTGAAACAGAAATCACAAGTGAGAAATCATTGCTGCTAAATCAGGTGTTGCAGAGGCCAGTGGAAAAATCAGACGCTAAGAAAAGTAGGAAATTACTTTGTTTAGAGCTGGGAAGGTTAATGAGAATGAATTAGAAAGTGTTCTCTGTGTATTCAGCCCCTAAGGATTTGAGCAAAGTTAGAGGGATTTATTTACTGATTATCCAGACTATACAACTGGCAATAAGATTAAGTGAGGAATTTTGGAACATGCTGACATTTCTTATTTGCATCATTTACTATGGAGATCATTTGTCGGCACTGCACTGAGTTTGTGGTGAACCAGGGCTTAGTCTGGCCCAGCAGAGACGGATCTGGTACTTCTCATGGCTCGAGGGATGTGGGGGTGAAAACAGTTTAACGTCCTCTTTTGTGTCTCAGAGAGGAAACATCAAGTTTGTCTAGGTGCTTATCAGAGGAGAATTTCAGAATATTTTCCTAGACATCATTAATTATGGAAAAGAGTGCAGTTATAGGTGACACATTGCATTAGATCAACTGAAAATAAAAGACAAGGCTGTAATTTATAGAGCCTCTGCATTGGACGCTGTACAGAGCTCCCCCACTATAAGGCCTCCTTCAAGTCCGTCCTTCCCAGCACATACACAGATATGCAAACTGCCCTCTTCCTCCTGTATTCAAATTTCCTTAAAACAGGCTGGTAAGTACTGAAAAGTTACCATCTCAGCTGGAAGAAAGGAAGGCAGACCATGGAATGGGAGTTCAGTACAGAATCGAGGAAAAACAGAATTGTGATTTCTATTCTTTATTCTGGGTGCCTACCTCTAAAATGATCACACTTTGTGGAAAACATGCAACACTTGTATATTATTCATGTAGACTCATGAAATAATAAGATGTGCTTTGAAATGTAAACTTGGTCAGTGCGTTTTCCAAGATTTGCCTTCACCAAGCCACTGCCCATGCACTAAGCACTTATTTGCCACATTTTAATCTCATAAAATAAGGCAATTCCTTGTCCCTAAAGAATCCTTCAACCGAGTCTTGTGCATTTCAGCTGGAATAAGAACTATTTTGTTAGTGACCCTCTCTTGGGTGGTTACTGCTGAGTAAAAGTCCTCAACAGAGATCAGTTCTGCCAACATTTCTTCTAAGAATGGTTTTCGTAAGAAGGTAAATAACAGACATGAAAAGCAAGGTGTTATTTCAGTCTTTGTGATGACTCTTAATACTTCTCTGATCAGCATCACAGATGACTAATTCTCCTGCTTTCTATTTTCACCGTCTTTGGTAGAAGCTCCAAGACTTCTATTTACTTTCCTTCTTAAGGGAACTGCATACCACAGCCAGTAGCTTTAATCTTTTAATCCTCAGATGTCCGGTTGATGCCTCCACCCATTCATTACCTCTTTTCACAGCAAATGATCCTGTTTCCTTCACAATTAATGTCCACTGCTGGACCAGGCTGTTGTCTCTGGGAATGTGTTTCATGCATTTGGTAAAAAATGCACAAATAAATTTCAGCCTGAACATTTTCTGGGCTAATCATCACACTTTGAGTCTTAAATATCATCATGACTTGAATTCCAGGGTAACTTACCAGTATTTGAGACTTCCCAAAATCCATTGACTTCCTTCAACATTGAAATAAAGGCAAATATCATGCCAATATTATCTCACATCCTAGTTTTTTTTCCTAATGCACTCTTATAAATATGGGGCACTTCATGTGTTGTTATGACAAGGAAATTCTTTGACTAAAAAGTTTGCAAATTCCAAAGTAGTATTTGTTTTATAAACAAAGGTGCTGTTTTCCTTGTGCCAGCCTCTTTCTGCTTTTGCTTGTCCAGCAGTTTGTTCTGAAAGGCATGAAGCAGCTGTTGGCTCTGAATCAAAACTTGCAGCGCAGGGAGGGTTATGTAAAAGTCCTTTGTGTGAGAGATGTACATGGCAGCAAATGGTGAAATTGGAGTACAGATTCTTTGAGGGGAGATGACTATTCACGACAATGTTTTATTTTTTACTTGACTTTTGCATAGAACAAAAAGAAAGGTAGAAGATATTGTAATTATTATTTTTTTTTGCATTTTCAGAAATGCATTTTCTTGTTGCAGTGTTGTGAGCTTGTAATTTCATGCTGCTTTGCACCCAGTATCACCCACTGGATGGAAGGGCTGCAAGAGGTTGTCTAGTTCTTTCCCCTGCCTCAAGGCAGGAGCTCTGTACCATTTCTGGAGGATGTTGGTGTGATCTTTGGAGGAGATTCTGCAAATCTATTTCTGTGCTTCACTCCTCTTACCATATAACACTTTCCAAATATTTGTTTGATCTATTTCTCTATCTGCAAAGACGCTCCTCTCTCCCCTTCCACAGGTGGTTTCATTTGAACTCAACAGTCCTATTTGGTCTTAGCTTTTCCTTACAGATAATATTTTACAGAGCCCTGAACATCATCTTCAATGGCTTCCTCTGAACACTCTCAAAATGTGCTACAAATTTCTGGTAGTGTGATAACCAGAATTGGATGTACAATTCTTGTACTGATTTCATAACAGGAAGACACACTTTCTCTTCCTCTAAACTGCACCTTAAGTGGCCGTTCTCATGCTGTATGTTTATAACTGATTTATTCCTGCCCAAGTCAAATATTTTCTATTAATAATTAATTTCATCTAGATTTTTAAAATGGTTCTCCAGATCATTGTGAACTCTGGTCATATCATCTACTGTATTCACTTCCTCTTCCAGTTTATTCTCATCAGTAAATGTAATAAGCATAGGCTGTAATCCACCATCCTGAGCATTAAGGCATTAATAAGCACATTAAAAACATAGCCCATGTGAAGGTCCCCTTGGTAAGAGTTTTCCAGTTTAACAGTGAGCCATTGACAGCTTTTCTATGGAAAAGAGCATCTAACCAGTAACTGCTGGGAGAGCACACTTCCATTGATGAAAATGTCACTTGAGATTCTGTCAAAAAGCTTTACTTAAGTCTGAAATATGTAGCATCTAATGTTAATACCTTACCCATAATATCTGAATCCCTGCTTTAAAAGGAGATTGGATTGATTTGACATGAATAGTTGTCAACCTGTTAAGAACTATAAGATAAAAGTAACTCCAAATTTGTTGGGATTCTGGTAATACATCATTCCTTTCTGTCTCATAGTTCCAAATCAGCTTCTTGATTGAAGAAGGCAGGGAGAGAGCCTAACACAGTTTTTGAATGTTTGGGACCATCAAAGCTATGTAAATACCTGGGGAGCAGTATGTGGGTTCAACAGAAGGTTTTAGCTAATGGTCTGTACTATACAATGTCTGTAACCACAAAGAAGAATCTAAGTAGGCAATCGTTTAAACTAATCCAGAGTGTTAAAGACTTTTGAATCAAATTGAGCCAGGCTATATCTTTCTTCTGCCTAGGTACGTAAGTGAG